GGGCTGGTGCGGGATCGGGCAGTGTTTCGTTCTGCTGTGCATGGGGTCGCTATGAGTCGGAAACGACTCGACGGCACTTAACAACAACAACAACTGTTTCTCTAACCAGTTTTCTTTCTATCACTGGGAAGGGAATAGCATCCCCTTGTTTCTAACCTCTTCTTGCCCACTATCCCGTAGAACACAATGGAGAATGGAAAGAGGCATGGCTCTTCCTTGAACCTTTGCTCATTGTGAGAAGGAAACATTGATTGCCGTATATTAGGAATTATTTCTTAAATATTTCGGGCATCTTTTCTAGTACTTAAATAGATCAAATGTGGTTATCTTTAAAGCAAGATATTAAACTAATGAAATATTTCCTTTTATAATTTTTAAAGGCTAAAGCAGTAGCTGCAGAATCCAATGCAACCTTCTTTAATATAAGTGCTGCAAGTTTAACATCAAAATATGTGAGTGTTCCTTATCAATTTTGTCATATTTTAAAGTTATTGTCTAAGTGTTACTGTGTTAAATGGTAATATTATGCAAAAATATTATATGAATTTGTACTATTCTGTGTGTGTGTGTTTTGGGTGAAAGTTTACAGAGCAAAATAGATGAACATTAGTCATCAAAGTACAAAGTGACGTACATTTGTTAAGCTCTTTTAAAATTTGAATTAGGTTCTCAAACACCTTCACTTTCTGCCTTCACTTGATAAACATTATCAAGGAAAGTAGATTTTATATCAGGGAACCACCAAGGATGACAGTCACTGGAAAAGAAGAAATAGTGGTCTAAAACTGTATTTCTGGCTTCCTTAGTTAAAACATAAGATTTTCACTATTTTATTTTGATTTTCTTTTAATACTGCAGTTTAGTCTTCTTTTTCAATTCAGTCTCTACTGACCCTATAGTAGTAGTCAAAGAACAGCGCAGTCCAGTTTTAGATAGGGTAGGCATGACTATAGGACTTAGAGAGAGTAATTTGTCTGATGTGTAGAACTAGAGGTGTGGAGAACAAGTTGCAAAGCTGTAAGTTAGATAGATACAAGCAAGCATACCTTGTTTTATTGTACTTCACAGATAACTGCACTTTTTGCAAGTTGTAGGTTTGTAGCAACCCTATGTCAAGCAAGTCTGTTGGCACCATTTTTCTAACATGTGCTCATGTTGTGTGTCTCTTATATTTTGGTGATATTCACAATATTTTAGAATTTTTCATAATGCCGTTGCATACTTAAAAGACTGCAGTTTAGTGTAAAAGTAACTTTTATATGCACTGTGTAACGAAAAAATTCATGTGACTCTTTTTATTGTGATACTCACTTTATTGTAGTGGCCTAGAACTAAACCCGCAATATCTCTGAGGTATGCCTGTAGTTTCTGTCAAACACCGTACTGCTTTGTCTGTCTTTCCCCTTTTCTCCCTTTCCTTTGATTGCCCAGTATGTCCTATTCTTTCTGCTTGCCCCTTATCAAAGCCCTAATGATTGAAAGTGTTTTGGCAAGCTTATTTACACTCAAATACTTATCTCTGATTAAAGGAAGTATTACCTATAAAAATTTAAAGTGTTGACATTCCATGCACTGAAATAGAGGTGGTTATCAGAAGTTAGGTGAGTTGTCACTCTTCATGAAGGGCTCAAAAGGTAGCTTTATGGTCATGAATTTACTACAGCCTTCAGCTTTCCAAAGACAGAAACTTGACTTTATGAGCACACTGCAAATAAGTCTGTGGCTTAGGAACAGGCATGAGATCAGAACAGTCTCATTTCCATAACCAGCATATTCTCTCCTTATACATAGACAGGTATGGAAAACTGACTTTTAAAGATTTTTTGTGAGCAGTGGATTACAGAAACTCAAACATGACACTGTGACCATAGTTTGAGTATTTTCAGGCATTGGGCTAACATAGCCTCTATTCTTATGATAGAGTTAATCTTGCCATTAGACCCACAGTTTTTGAAGTCTGTTTGTTAAGACTCTCTCTCTGAACAGTTCTTCAGATACACTTTTTCCTACCACAGGACTTTTGTACATAGTTTCCTCCCTCAGGAACACTCTCTTCAGGCTAACTCCTTGTTCTGCAGATACCAGTTGAAAGGTTGTACCTTTCCCTAATCCTTCAACCTAATACCTTTATTTATTCTCCCAGTACCATTTGTCTCTCCTGTGTAATGTTCATTGAAGTTTTTGTGTGTGTGTGATTTGAAAATTTACAGAGCAAATTCACTTTCCATGCAGCAGTTCACATACACTTTGTCTCATGACATTGACTATAATTTACCACAATGCAACAGCTCCTCTCCCACATCCCACTTCTCCCTGTATCCATCCCTCTGTGCACTCCTTCCCCCTGAGCTGTGTATAAACAGCCCTTCTTTCTCCTATGATTGTTCTGTCCAAGGAGTGTATCTACTTCACATGTTTAAGTCATGTGCTTGTTTTTTGTTTGGCTGGAAGCCACAGGTGTGGGTTCATTTCCAGACCTGAAGGGCAGCTAGGAACTATAGTCTCAGTGGTTCCACCAGGCTCTATCAAACCAGCGAACCCGGTCCCCCCCCCTTTATTTCCCAAATGATTGTGAGTTTTGTTCTACATTGTTCTCCCTCTCTATCCAGGATCTTCTACATAGATCCCCCTCTGAGTGGTTGACAGTGGTAGCCAGATTCCATCTAGTTCTTCTGGTGTCATAATCATACAGGCTGTGGATCACATGGTGTACCAGTTGCTAGGACTAATTATTTCCATGAATCTTTAGTTTTCTTCATTCTTTGCTCTGGATGAGGAGAGACCCATCGTAGCATCTAGATGGCTGCTTTAAGATCCCAGTCACTACTCGCCAAAGTAGGAAGTGGAACAATGTTTTGTGTAGTATGTTCTGCAGATTGAGCTTGATGTCCCCTGTGACTATGTGTTCATTGAAATTTTAATTTATATTTATTTATACTATTATTTCACTATCATCTAGTATCGTTATTACCTCCACTAGAAGACAGTCTCCATGAGGGCAGGAACTATTGCCATTTCTTCCTCAGTGTTCATGTTCAGAGTATCTTGAGCAGTGCCTGACAATTAGTAGATACTAAATAAATATTAGGAGCTCTGGTAGCATAGTGCCTAAGGCACTTGACTGCTAACCAGAAGGCTGGTGGTTCAAACCCACCAGTCACTCCTCGGAAGGAAGATGGGGCAATCTACTTCCGTAGTTATACAGCCTCAGAAACCCGAGGAGGGGTTGCTATGAGTCAGGTCTGACTCGACAGCACATAACAGCAACAACAACAAATAAATATTTGTTAAATAATCATAGGAGGTGTGAAGGTACTACTCATATTCCTCCATTTTACTAGGGAACTGAGTCCAGAGAGTTTAAGTGATTTTCTCAGAATCTCATACTCAGGAAGGGGATTTAAGCTCCATTATAAGTCTGGCTTGAAAGCCTGAGCCCTATCACTAAAAATTTCACAGCATTCCCTTTTATCTATACTTGTTTCAGAGCTATTTTCTTTCATGCACATGATTCCTGAAACAATTTAAAGTACATGATATTACCCCCCAATTCCAATCTACCCCTAAAATATCTTAAAGTAATCTCACTATTTACTAGGTAAGGTTGGAGTGCCTACTTTATCACTTAGTTCTAGTTAATGAAAATTTTTTCTTACGTTTATTTAAAACCTGTGTTTTTCTAATTTCTGCATACGTGATGTAACAAAAGTCTTTTTTTCTTTTATAAGACAGCCTTTCAAATACATAGATACTTAATCATCTGTCTCCCTTTTTCTTTCTTCTAGATGATTATCCTAATTGTCCAATTTGCCAGTGTGCTTCTTAGAATGTGATAGGAAAAGTAGGATGTTTTACCTCAGATGTGATCTCACTTTTAAAGATTTCAAAGTAGGCATTACTTAGGATTATCTAGATACTCTGTTTCTTATAATATATTCTGAGAAAATGTTTCAGAGGAACTACATCATAGACTGAACAAAATTTGTGTTATCTGAATTATTTTTAACATAAATGTCAGTTAGATATGTATCTTAATAGTTTGTATTATTATTTAACTTCTTATTGAATAACTTAACATGTAGGAAAGTACATACATCATAAATACAAAGCATGATGGAATATAACAAAGTTAATACCAAAAATTTGTTGGCACTGAGTAGATTCTGACTCATAATGACCCTATAGGACAGAGTAGAAATACTTAACAGTTTCCTTAGTGGGGGGGTAATGTTTACAGGAGCAGATCACCAGGTCTTTTCTCCTATGGAGTGGCTGGTGGGTTCGAACCACTGACCTTTCATTTACCAGCCAAGCACTTAACCACTGCAGCCCTCAGGCCCCCTTACAAAGTGAATATACTCTTATAATCACTGCCCAGGTTAAGGAATAGAATATTTCCTGCACCCCTGATATCCCTTCAGACCCTTTTCCAGTCTTTATTCACCCTTTCCTCTCCCCAAAAATCAACTACAAGAATCCTCATCATGGGCAAAAGTAACCTATCTTTGAACTTTATATAAATGTAATCATACACGATATTTGTTTTGTGTTTGGCTTCTTTCATCAAGATTATATCTGTGAGATTCCTCCAGATTGTTACATGTAGTTGTATTTGTATATTTTTACACAAATAGATTTAATTCTTAAATTTCACAACTGTTAAATAACCTGCTTATCGTGCTGTTTTTACAAAAGCAAGTAATATTCGTGTAGAACTTTGTAATTAGCAAAATGTATTTTTGTAGTGCTCATAATTTTTTTTTAATTTGTCCTTCAGTATATCAGTATTTTGCTAAATTGAAAGACTACTACTAGCAGAGAAGCTGATAGAATAATGTTTTTCTTGTGTTGTCTCTGTTAAATTTATTTTTTAACATATCTTTAAATATTTTAATAAGACTACTTAAAATGTTCTGTCTTATAAAGTAACTATTAAATGATACTAACTTTCATGATCACATTTTGTTTTCTATGTGAAATTTTATAAATAAAATTATTGAATTAGGCTTATCTACATTATACTATTGTATAATGAAAAGCACTGTCTTGAAAGTTGATACCAATTCCAACCTAACCTTTTATTTACTGAGCTGGCCTTTGAAAGTATTATTATAACTTGAGAGCTTACTTCATCTCTAAAATCCTGATGTTTTGGTAACAGACAATCTCTTGAGGTTCTTTCTAGTTCTGGGAATATTTATTTTTTATGTTTTGAAATCTGGGTCCGTTCCTTTTTTCGGTTGCTAATGAAATAATCGGGAGCTCTGGTAGCTAGTGCCTAAAGGCATTTGACTGTTAACCAGAGGACTGGCGGTTCAAAACCACCAGCCACTCCTCAGAAGGAAGATTGGGCAATCTACTTCCAGTGATACTGCCTCGGAAACCCAAGGAAGGGTCGCTATGAATCGAGTCAAACTCGACAGCACGTAACAATAACAACAATGAAATAATCAGTAAAACAGATGCCACCTAGAGGACAGAACTAAGTTTTTACAGTCCATTTCCCCAAACATTACTTACTTAGATAGATACTTTGGTATTATATAGAATGGCCTTAGTAAGGTGTTTGTAGTACCTGGGAAATGTCTTGAGAGGTGGTCATAGATCTCTTGCACTATATAGAAATATTTTTATATTTACTGACAGTGGTATTGTGAGAATGAGTTTTTGTGGTGTTCTTAATAGAGGAGGATTTATTTATGAAGAAACATTTCAACTTACCTGTATCTATTAAAAAAAAAACAAAAACTCATGGCATTGGAGTCAATCCTGATTCATAACAACCCCTTTTGGGTTTCCAAGGCAGTAAATCTTAACAGAAGTAGATTGCCAGTCTTCCTTCTGCAGAGTGGCTGGTGGGTTTGGACCGACAATCTTCTAGTTAGCACTCAAATACCTTAGGCAGTACACCACCAGAGCTCCTAAAAATCCTTACTGGCTATATTAAATCTTAAATTCATAATCTGTCTTCTAAAATTTTAAGGGGCAATTCAGCCACTCATTCCCTCCTTTCTAGTTACTCAAACAAAATCTTCACTTGTTGCAAGAAAGAGAAATTGATTTACTGAATTCTAGACTTAGAACCTAGTCTTTTAATTATGAAATTAAAAAGCTGAAATAATGTTGGATTTTATTTGTATAATAATGTATAATGCTTTGTTTTAGGTGGGAGAAGGAGAGAAGTTGGTTAGAGCGCTTTTTGCTGTGGCTCGAGAACTTCAGCCTTCTATCATTTTTATAGGTGAGACACACAAATGTTTTCCTTCTAAGTAGTTAAATATCCATGAAATTCCCTTTTCCAAATATGAGAAGTATGATGATAATTTCCAATGGATAAGTCACTTTCAACTCATATTGACCCTGTGTGCAACAGAACAGAATACTACCTGATCCTGTCATCCTCACAGTCATTGCTATGTGTGAGCCCATAGTCATCATGGGCACTGTGTTAGTCCATCTTGTTAAGGGTCTTCCCCTTTTCCGCTGATCGTCTACTTCTTACAAGCATGATATCCTTCTCTAGGAATGGGTCCTTTTTGACAGTGTGACCAAAGTATGTGAGATGAACTCTTGGCAGTCCTTACTTCTAGGGAGATAGATACATGGCTGTACTTCTTCCAAGACAGAGTAGTTCATCTTTTAGGAGTCCATGGTACATTCAGTATTCTTCACCTATACCACAATTCAAATACATCAATTCTTTTGCAGTCTTCCTTATTTTCTAGCTCTCACATGCATATGAAGTTACTAAAAATATCATGCTTTGAGTCAGGTACATCTTAGTCTTCAAAGTGATATCTTTACTCTTTAACACTTTAAAAGAGGTCTTTTGTAGCAGATTTGCCCAATGCAATACACCATTTGATTTTTTTTTTTTCCTGTAACTTAAAGTTTGATTTGGGTGACAGTTTACAGAGCAAATTGGTTTTCCATCCTATAATTCATATACATTTTGTTTTCTAGCAATTGTTGCAATCCCCACAATGTAGCAGCATTCTTCTTACTTCCCCCTGTTTCTCGTTTCCTTTCATCCTTTTTTCCTGTCTCTTCGTGCCTTCTGAGTTTTATACCTGGACAAATGTTACCCTTTGGATCTCTTATGTTTGATTGTTCAAAGAGTGTATACCTCCCTGATGTTACTATTCATATTATATGCCTGTCTTTTATTTGGCAGAAAGTTTAGCCACAGTTCAGTTCTGGACTTGAAGGATGTCTGAGAGGCATAGTCTTAGGGACTCCAACAGTCTGTATCAGACCAATAAAGACTGTTTTTTTTGTTTTGTTTTGTTTTTTAAAGCTTTTCATTGTGACTTGGGTGAAAGGTTACAGAACAAATTCGTTTTCCACTCAACAGTTCATGCACATTTTGTTTCGTGACATTGATTGCAATCCGCACAGTGTAACAATGCTCTTCCCACTTTCTCCCTGTGGTTACCTTTTCCTTTGTCCTCTCCTATGCATTCTTGCCTTTTGAGCTTTCTCCCTGAGCAAATGTTGCCTTTCTGATCTCCGTTGGTTGAGTGTTCAAATGAGTGCACCTCCTTCGTATTAATTGCTCACCTTGTAGGTCTGTCTGTTGTTTGGCTAAAACTTAAGCCATGGAAGTGAGTTCAATTCCAGGCCTGACGGTGACTAGGGGCCATAGTCTCTGGGATTTCATCAGTCTCTATGAGACAAGTATACGCTTGATCTTATTTTTTTTTATGATTTTGAGTTGTGTTCCACATTGTCCTCTCACTCTATCCATGATCTCCAATTTTGGTCTCCAATTTTGATCTCCAATTTTGGTCCCTTTCCAAGTCATTGACAATGGTTGCCAGGTACCATCTAGTTCTTCTGGTCTCAGAGTCATGTAGGCTGAGGTTCCCACGGCACACTGGTCCCTTGGACTAATTATTTACATTTGTCTTTTATTTCCTTCATTCTTCTTTGCTCCAGCCCAGGTGAGAACAACACTTGCATCTTACATTGTGTGATGAAATTCTTGATTCATTCTTTTCTCCAGTACACCACGATGTTGTTTATTGTTCCAGTTGTGAGGACTTTTATTTTCTTTATGTTGAGGTGTAATCTGTACTTGAAAGCTACAATTTTTGATCTTTGTGAGTAAGTTCCTCAAGTATTCCTTCACTTTCACCAAGCAAGATTGTGTTATCTGCATATTGCAGGGGTTTTTGTTTTGTTTTGTTTTTTGTGATTTGGGTGAAGATTTACAGAGCAAATTCACTTTCCATACAGCAGTTCACATACACTTTGTCTCATG